AAAAAAAAAAAAAAAAAAACAAAAAATACTCTACTCAATCCAGGAGTGAGGAATATATTTACCTGACATGTAAGTTATAATCCAAGTTAATGCCCCACTAACTGATCTACCAGCTTCAAACAATATTAATCCAACTATATAAATATATCCAGTAGAAAACTTGACATCCCCTACAGTTAGGTAGTCTAAAAAATTCCTGATTACTAGCGCCTAGAATGAAAACAATGTAAAATAGAAAACAGCCATCATAAATGCGGATTTTCTAAAAAATTCAATCCGAATGAAAATGTGAATATGAAAAAAATTAAAGCTGCAAATGTGTGAAATTTGACATATATTCAAAAAAAAATATCTGTCTGAGAAACAGAGTTGAAAAATACAAATATATCATCTCCACCTATGGCAGAATTGAACTCTGGACATTCAGCATCTAATTCACTGAGCCACCACAGCTCCAAGGACATTTCTAAGAAATGAAAGGAGTTTTACATCCTACTTTTCTGGACCATGTGAAATATGGTAATGATAAATACAGGGAAATTTTGCCAGGACAGCGGTATTGGTCTGCTCTTTTTCGATTTCTAACTTTCGAGGGATCTATAGTGTGCACAGCCTGTAGTAAACGGGGCCTCAGTTTATTGTCCCATCCGAACAACTAAACACTTTTTCCATGTCAGCCCCTCTTATCTGCATCACTGACAAGGGGAAAACGCGTTGAAAAATCCAAAGGTTTTATCTCAATCCCTGGACCTTCGGGTTAGCGGGTAACGTCTCTGCATCACACAATACCACAATACAGTCAAGGGCTAGGATTTTCCCTTCTTATATCTCTGTTAGTTAAGTCTAACTCTCAACTGTTGTGTAGGGGGTAGGTTATAAAATAACGTAACTTACCGGCGTTAATAAACTAAAGGCCACCATAATAATAATAAATAAAAAGGTAATTAATAGTCTAGTTCTGATAGCCCTCCATACAACTCTCCATAATGATGCCTCTTCTTTTCCTCTCTCTTTACTCCTCTCATTCCATAATCTTTCAAACCTACAGAATATAAATAAAATAATAATCACATTATCTTTCAAACCTACAGAATATAAATAAAATAATAATCACATTATCTTTCAAACCTACAGAATATAAAATAAAATAATAATCACATAATCTTTCAAACCTACAGAATATAAAATAAAATAACAATCACATTATCTTTCAAACCTACAGAATATAAATAAAATAACAATCACATTATCTTTCAAACCTACAGAATATAAAATAAAATAATAATCACATTATCTTTCAAACCTACAGAATATAAAATAAAAAAATAATCACATTATCTTTCAAATATACAGAATATAAAATAAAATAATAATCAGATAATCTTTCAAACCTACAGAATATAAAATAAAATAATAATTACATAATCTTTCAAACCTACAGAATATAAAATAAAATAATAATCACATTATCTTTCAAACCTACAGAATATAAAATAATATAACAATCACATTATCTTTCAAACATACAGAATATAAAATAAAATAACAATCACATAATCTTTCAAACCTATAGAATATAAAACAAAATAATAATCACATTATCTTTCAAATCTACAGAATATAAAATAAAATAATAATCACATTATCTTTCAAACCTACAGAATATAAAATAAAATAATAATCACATTATCTTTCAAACCTACAGAATATAAAATAAAATAATAATCACATTATCTTTCAAACCTACAGAATATAAAATAAAATAACAATCACATTATCTTTCAAACCTACAGAATATAAATAAAATAACAATCACATTATCTTTCAAACCTACAGAATATAAAATAAAATAATAATCACATTATCTTTCAAACCTACAGAATATAAAATAAAAAAATAATCACATTATCTTTCAAACCTACAGAATATATATAAAATAATAATCACATTATCTTTCAAACCTACAGAATATAAAATAAAATAATAATCACATTATCTTTCAAACCTACAGAATATAAAATAAAATAATAATCACATTATCTTTCAAACCTACAGAATATAAAATAAAATAATAATCACATAATCTTTCAAATATACAGAATATATATAAAATAATAATCACATTATCTTTCAAACCTACAGAATATAAAATAAAATAATAATCACATTATCTTTCAAATATACAGAATATAAAATAAAATAATAATCACATTATCTTTCAAACCTACAGAATATAAAATAAAATAATAATCACATAATCTTTCAAATATACAGAATATATATAAAATAATAATCACATTATCTTTCAAACCTACAGAATATAAAATAAAATAATAATCACATTATCTTTCAAACCTACAGAATATATATAAAATAATAATCACATTATCTTTCAAACCTACAGAATATAAAATAAAATAATAATCACATTATCTTTCAAATCTACAGAATATAAAATAAAATAATAATCACATAATCTTTCAAACCTACAGAATATAAAATAAAATAATAATCACATTATCTTTCAAACCTACAGAATATAAAATAAAATAATAATCACATTATCTTTCAAACCTACAGAATATAAAATAGAATAATAATTACATTATAATGTGGGCGTATAAAAATTAAGAAAAGCTTCATTCCCTTAAAGCTGTGAACACTTTTACAGATTAGTTTAGCAGTACAATTCTCAACTCCAAAACCAAAGTCCTTATATATTCCTGATAGTTCTTGGATATGATACAGAATTGGTTGTCTGAAGAACTCATTGAAAAGGAGACTTACCTGAGTTCATTGTATTCAGTAGCATCAATAGGTGAGAGATGTAACCCATCTAGGACTACCACTCCTTTCTTCCATATATGGTACATTAACCCGGACATCCAGGAATAAAACATACAGGAGAAACAACCAGAATATGCCAGTGGAAACTCATCTTTGGGTCTGAAAAAAACAGTCTTTCACATCATACTATGTATGCCATTTTGCAATGACAGTCTTAAAAAGTCCTGTCTAACCATATTTGGAAATCTTTCAATCCATTACTTTTCACTTTCTTCTGATCCTCATGGAGGTAATTGAGATGTGCAATACCACTCAGTATGTGGAGTTGGCAAATGAAATGAAATGGAGTTTTAGTTCCCACTCTTCGACACCTAATTGGGCTAATAAAGACAGGAGATGGCAAAGATGGAATGTTTAATACTGACAGTTGCCTAACTCTTTTTCAATATTCTTACAGTCAAAGAATGTTAGTTCACACATCTTTTGTTTTTTAGTTCCATGTGAGAACTACACTCCCTTTGTCTGCTCTCCTAATCTGTATCCCAAGTAGAACTCAATCTTGAAAAATCTGATGCATCCCTTATCCAGTAATCTCCAGTCTCATACCCGAGCCCGAATGACTTGTTGAGTCACCCCGGCATTTTAAGTTCTGTAAACCATTCCGATGGATTCCTTTTTTTTTAGTGTCAAATTAAGCAAACTATTTGATTAACAGGTGTTTCTAATGAATTATCATGTATTCTTAACCATATCATTATTTTCTTATATATATATATATCATAATCATAAATGTCAATGTATGTACAGTCTGGATAAAAAAAAAAGACTTTTTGACCTTTCTTGAATGGTCACTTATTGGAATTCTGCTGGTAATTCTCTTCTAATTTAGCTAATTATGAATTAATTATGGACATGTGAGACAAATTGGTATTTTCCCAAGTCATAAGAACACCTCTACTTTATATTCATATCAGTAATAGCATTAGCATTTTCATAAATGAAAATGAGGGAACCCATCTTTAAAGCTCAATAACCCTATCAAAGCTTAATACTCTAAATTTTAGACAGTAATTTTACCTTTTATCCAATCTGTAAGGTATCAAATGTTTTAAATTAGGTTTATATTTATTAAAACCTTTTCTTCTGGTAGGGCCAGCTTCTAACATCCCTTCCAATTCAAGTGGATCTCTGTAATCAAATAAAAAAAATCTAATTATATTAAATGAACTTCCTAGAGTTCTTTGCTGAAGAGGGTATATCACCAGGAGCATTGGTTCTTAACAGGACGTCATCTGCTTGGTTACGTCAAGAAAATAGCTGCTGTGGGTTCCGTCATCTTCACACATAATTCCAGTTGACCTAACTGTAAATAGGTACAGATAATCTGGGAAAGATCAATGTCAAGGGTTTGGCCAAAGATCAGCTGGTAGAGGATCCTTAACTGTGAACCCAAGTTGTTATCCTTGTAAAATACAGTTTTTTCTTTCTTTTTTTATCATAATAAAAGCCTGATTGGAGAATTCTATAATATTTCATGAAAGATGTCCGGATGGGCCAAAAATCGCTATACCCGGCGGTATTTTTGTTGACGCATGACGGAGACCATTTGACGGATTGGCTTCCGCATATATGAAATCATACCCTCTTAAACCAAACCAACCATTTCAATTTTTAACGCATGACGGATCCACATGATGCGTATATGGAATCTTAGCTTTAGGATGACCAAAAAATTTAAACCTTAAAACTTGGCCAAAAATAAGTCTTTGATCATCAGTGGTGTCATAACTATACAACAGAATCTCTCTATAATCCAATAAATCCTTAAAACTAAGTAATAATTCATTAATTAAGTAATTTTGAAACAATAATTATTTAGTTTAATTGGTATATCATCTTATATAAAGATTCTATTCTTTAGTCATGACACCTGGTAAGTCCAACTGATGAATATGTATACACATATTGACCAAGATGGAAGACTTTAAATTTTATGTCCATTCTAAGAGATAGCATCCTTTTAAATATTCAAAAGAATAATGGTACTAAATAATATGTCTTAATCAACAAAAAATAAATTTCAAAAAAGTTAATACCCTAGAGACAGCATTTCTTATTCTAGACTAAAATCATTATTAAAGTTACAAATGAAAGCAAAATCCAAAATGGCTGCCACTCACCTGTGTCTATCGTCCATCATTGTATTTTAAATGCAATGTTTCTCTTTGACAAATGAAGGCGGCGTTGCACTCTATTTTATAATTTCCATGTTGCTATGATCAATACGTCACAGTAAAACCTGTAAAAAACATTAGGTGCCAATTAACATTTATATAAAACAGTTTACACTTCTGTTATACAAGCAGCTTTGTTATCTTAAAGGGATGGTAGAGAGGTTTTCTTTGAAAAATCTTATATGTGATTAAAGGGATTGTAAAGATGTTTTTTCAAATTTTTATGTGTATTGGGGACACTGGTAGCATCAATTTGCATCATTCCAATTTTCAATCAGACATGTCTGGTTCCTGCAATTCTACTAATAACAGGCTTTCTCACATAAGGCCCATTACAATTGGTGACATTTTAGTGTTTGATGACTTCACTAATGGTGAAATATGCTGTATCACATAAGGCCCTTTGCGATTAGTGATATCATTGAACACTTAGTTTTAGTGGAATTGCAGGAACCACAGACATCAGAAAGTGGTTGGGATAGTGCAAATTGATGCTATCAGTGTCGTGAAACACATAAAATTTTAGAAAACCTCTTTAGTCATGGCACCTGGTAAGTTCAACTAATGAATATATACTCTTATTGACCAATTCTATGTTCATTCTAAGAGGTAGAATTCCTTTAATTTCATTATATTTATATCTCAAAAATTAATTCCACTGTTCATTTAATTTGCTTTTATATCAATCAAAACCATTCAGAAGTGATAAATAAGCTCACAGAATTTTATTTCAAATTTCAGTCAAAAAATTTAATAGATTGGCTAAAAATGAAAAAAAAGGGCCTTATGTGACATTTTGGGATTAGTGACATCATCAAACACTTAATTTTAGTGGATTGAAGTAACCACAAATGGTGCAAATTGATGCTATCATTGTTTCTGATACACAAATAAAAAAACAATTAGAAAACCTCTTCACAATCCCTTAAAGCAAGAATGATAAACAAACAAAAAAAAACAGCAAAATCTTAATTTGTCATCACTTTAAGTTCATCATATTTAATTCTTCAATTATCATGTCATTGGAAATGATCCAGACCAGGTCTGTGCAACATTTCTGCAATGGCAGGCCACATTTGGGGGATGCGAGTAGCCGTGGGCCACGTAACCAACCATCAATAAATCATGGAAAAAACAATGAGAAACATGCAAGCAATTTTTCAAGTCAAGTCATAACAGGCATATTTGTTTCACATGAGATCAGACCTCGTTAACGATTTGATTGGTTAGATTCATTTTGATTTCATACTTTGATACAACTGCGCGGATATAACAGGTTTCGATATCAGCATAGGCACGGACAATATGCGGGCCACACCGACAGTGACAAAAGCAAACGAAGCATTTGCTCGCAGGTCGCATTTCCCTCAAGTTTTACATGAC